ATTCCTCCATTAGTCTGCTGGGGAAGCTTCAGTGCAGATAAAGGCATGATCTTAACCAGCCAGGGTGAGCTAGAAGAGAGGATTGGGACCCCGCATGAGCAGAGGGAGAAGACAGGGTCATTTTACAGGTCTGAATCTGATTGTGCTGTCTACTGGAGTCAAGAGCATTCCGGGTAGCAAGACATCAGCCAGGTGACGATGCTCCCTAGAAAGGACCTTGGAGTGGGTAGGTTGAGCTTCACAACCAAGTAATAAAGATCAGGTCTCCTATGGCACAACCTCATCGAAAACCCTCCAGTAGACCATACCTGACCACCAGATGAAGTTCAGGCTCCCCAGTTTAGCTAACAATCATGGCAATGGGTGGCTGCTCCTGAACTTGCCATCATCCCTTATGCTCCAGCTACAATAAACCAGCAGTGTTTAGGCTTGTGACTCCAAATCTTTGTACATACTCATACCCAGATGGTCCTACAACCCTCAACTCAAGCATAATCCTGAGAACCCCACCCTCACCTCCATTCAAAACATCAAAAGTTGTAGCAGCATTGGCCATGGTGTCTCAAAGCCAAACTTTGTATGGGCATTGCATGAACTGGCTATCTTCTCCCTGGAGGCCATGTTTTGTTCATCCCTGTATTTCTGGCATAGTATCAGAACCATTGAAAAAGCAGCTGCTTGTTTAAAGTTGGTTGGAATCATAATTATTTTAAGTTGACATCTACCTATCTATGAATGGCATAGCCTATGTGTAACTGCACCAGGCACACTGCCTGGCTTCAAAGGATTTCCATCCAGGCATCCTCCGTGTGAAAAGATGCTCAAAGTCCTAACTTCTACCCATAATGAGATGTCAACTTGCCCATGTTACAATAGCTATTATCAGAAACACACAGTAACAAACACTGACAAGGATGTGGGGAAGGGGGAACTCTTACACATCGGTGCTGGGAATGTAAATTAGTATAGCTACTGTAGGAAGGAGCACAGAGAATGCTTTTAAAACTGGAAATAGAAATTCCATATGATCTAGCAATCCCATTCCTGGGTATATATCAAAAGTCATGAAATCATTGTATCACATCAGTACCCGTCCCACATGTTTATTTCAGCTCTACCCAACAGTCGCCAAGATACAGAATCAGCTAAGGTGTCCACCATGAAATGAATGGAAAAAGAAAAGGGAGTGATGGAACAAAAAAAGAATAAATTCTGTTATTTGCAGGATAAAAAAAAATGACAGAACTAAAGGACTTTATGTCACGTGAAGACAGACACAGAAAGACAGATACAGCACGTTTCCCTTGGCATGTGGAAGCTGATGAGAGAACAGCCAGCCTGAACAAAATGGTGATTACCACAGGCTGGGAAAGGTAAGGGGAATACAGGGAGTTTAGATCACGGGAATCAAGTCAGAGTTCAGCGTGAAGGAGGGTTACACGGCATAGTGAGGAGTTGACAGTTGTTTACATTTTACAAACAAGTAGAAGAAAGGCATACCAAACCTCCAAACACAAACATCATAAAAGAAGAAATGCTGATGATCTGATTTGATCAGTACACATTCTATACATATATTCAATGCCCCGGGGTAGCCAACAAATATTAGTTATTGATGACATCTACAATGGGACACCACCTCGTGTCTAAAAAGATGGCTACTATGACAAATAAAACCAGAGAATTACAAATGTCAGCATGGATATAGAGAAATCAGAGGCATTGTGTAATAGTAACTGAATGGTACCAGTTTCCACTATGGAAAATGGTACAGTAGTTCCTCAAATGATTAAATGTAGAATTGCCATGCAAGGCAAGTCTCCTTCTGGAGGTAGACCTTAAAGAGATCCATGTTGACAGCAACATAATTCACAGCGGTTTAAGATACGGAAGCTAGCCAAGCATCCACCAACAGGTACAAGGACAAGCCAACTGAGGTTATGTACAGACAGCGGAGCACTACTCAGCCTCCAGAAGGAAGGGGATTCTGACAGGTGCTGCAAACTGAGGTAGCCAAGTGAAATAAGGCATCGTCTGACTCCATTTAGGCCAAATCCACAGAGCAGTCATTTTCAGAGACAGAACGTGGAATGGGGGGTTGCTGGGAGGTCAGGGACAGAGGCCACAGAGGGTTGGTGTGGAAGGGGTCTAGACCTTCCCTGTGCAAGTTGAAAAACATTCTGAAGTCAGTGGCAACTGACTGCACTTGGAGTGGAGGCGGTGATGTTTACACCATATGTGTTTAATCATGACAACAAAGTCCTGTGTGAGGCATCTAAGAAGTAACTTCCCTCCCCACTTCTCAAGCTGAGTGCTCCTGGCTTTGGCTGCCTTGGCTCTGAGACAGGGCTAACTCTGAGTGGGAAGGCTTCCTCTTTCCAAACGCTATCTCTGGTGGTGGCGCTGCAAACCTCTGTGCATTTCATCTAATTTTGGGGGTGAGAGTGGGCTTCTTGCAGTAAAAAAAAAAAAAACACATCGTTATTATTTTTTTAATGTGTTTGTTTCAGGAACACAAGCGATCCAGCAGGGTTTCAACAAAACAAGAGCACTTTACTGAGAAACAGTCCTGGCAGGGAAGCTACTGTTTCCCAGCCACATGTTAGGCGCACGGAGGACTTCGCCCAGACCCTGACAATGAATTCCCTCTGCTGCCGTCTAGTGTTTCACGACAATATTGACCTTTTCTAGCTGTCAGACTTGTCTTATTAAATCCTGAGGTCTTAACTGCTTTGCACACAGAGGCGAGTGGCTTGCCCAGCCAAGCACGTGTTCATGTATAATTCATAGCCGATCACGTTGCCCGACAGATGAATATTTATCAGTTTTTTCATAAGAGGCAGGAGGGTGTTTCCTTTTGTTGCTACCAAAATTCTAGGTTGCAGCAAATGAAATTTATGCCCAAATCGAAAAGAAGGAACAGAAACTCCCAACCAAGTCCATTCCACTGGTAATTTTCCGTTTTCCGAGGTCTCTGATGTGTATGGGGGTGGTTTGGTTGCAACAGAGAACTGCTGAGTCATCTAGAATAGAAATACCTCCCATATGCTGCACTCATTGTTCCCACAGAAAATTTCCCTTACCCCACTCCTGTCCCATAACCAACCACCCAGGACCCTTTCAGGGACTCTAATCCAGATGCTCTGAATGGAAGTCAAGTTTTAGGGGGCCAAGGATAAGGAAGATAAAGAATCCCAAAAGATAAGTCCAGAGCAATGGTGGCTCCATGCCTGTATCCTTTATCCTCTGCCAGAATGAGCAAGGAAGTCCTGGCTCAGGGCACTGCTTCATCAGCTGGCTGGGGGTTCCAGCACCCACTTCCAGCAGGAATCAAGAAGACAGCTTCTGACCTTCTGACTCAATGACCAAGAATGGTAGTGTTGACATTTTCAAACACACAGAGGCACAGCCAACTGAAAGTGAAGTTTCAATAAGGTGCTGAATATTAAATCTGTACAACTCTGGTGCCATGCCCCTGGATTTGAAAGGTGTGCGGACGCTGGTCCTGACATTGACCTCAATGACACGGATGACCACAGTTAGCATCTGTTGGCCTCTCACAGAGTGGCAGGTGCCCAGTATACAGCCCATCAGCTCCAGTGCTCATGCCTACCCATGAAAGCAGGCATACATATCACTGCCACTTTCCAGATGAAGAAAAGGGAGAAAGCTGAAGGGACTTGCTGCAGTTGTAGCTCCCCCTTTGAAAGTCAGACTTGGTTCTGCTTGACCTCAAGGTCCACTGCAGCTACCCTTCTCTGGAATCACACCCAAGGGGCAAGCCCATGTATGCATGGCCTTGTGACACCAGGAAAGTCTCTTCATCTGTAAGGGCATCTCGTTGGCAAAAGTGGCACAGAAACCTTTGTTCAGCAGGGCTGGGATGATGCAACAGAGCTTTGCTGAAACTAATGAGCTCTGTAATCAGTGATCAGTCACCCTCAATGGAAACGTTCCTAGAAAGGTTAGCACTGGGAGTAAAGATGAGATGCCATAAATAAAACTGAAGAAAACAGACACACTGGGAGAAACACACAGAGCTCATTATGGGCATTCATTCATTCATTCATTCAACAACTTCTGAGTGCTTTCCAGGAGCCAGGAATTACCTAGGGAATCTGTGTGATGAAGAAGTGGATCTGAGCTGGGATGTGAAAATCAAGAGGACACCAGGCCTACAGAAAGTGAAGAAAGGGCGTGCTGCAGGCAGGGGGAGCAGCTGGCACAAAGATCTGGACAGGGCAGGAGGTCACTAAAAGCATCAGAGAGGTAGGCCAGTGTGGCGGCATTTCAGGCTAAGCCTCTGCTTGCAGCATACGGGTGCTGGTTCGAATCCTGGCCACTCCACTTCTGATACAGCTCCCAGTAATGGCCTGGGAAAGTAGCGGAGGATGGCCCAATTGCTTGAACCGCTGAACCCATGTGGGAGACCTGGAAGAAGTTCCTGGCTCCTGGATTTGGACCAACCCAGCTCTGGATGCTGTGGCTATTTAGGGAGTGAACCAGCAGGTGGTTCTCTCAGTCTCTCCCTCTGGTGTGTATGTGTGTAACTCTGACTTTCAAATAAAATAAATAAATCTTAAAATGAAGAGGGGTACCCCGGTAGGAAATACTCCCCTAAGCATTTTAGACCCTGCAGCCTTCTTTTTCATACTTGAGTTCAGAGTGTTGAATAGAGCACCCTTTGGAAAATGGTCATCTTCCACCTTGCTGGCCACCCTTTTGAGTTACTCTCATCACTCTATTCCATGATGAGTCCAGATAAGCCATTCTGGGACAGGTAGTGTCCCATATGGCATTGTTGATTTCCAGGATTGGAAGGGAGACACAGTCTAGAGCATGCCACCCTCAGCCTTGACCCCACCCCTACTACGGGCCTGTTCTCAGACCCCACTGGATGAGACACACCCTGGGATAATCCCCCAGTGAAGCACAAGTTCATCAGATCTCAGTTGAAGTTTCTGGGGTTTCAATCCCTCTCAGCGCTCAGCTGCACGTACCTTCCTCTCATCTACTCCCTCTGGAGCTAACAAGATCTTCTTCAGGAGCGGAGGGTCCAGCGCCTGGAACCGCCGGCGGAACTGAGCGAGCCCCATGTGGTCAGCATAGCCTGAGGGGTTAGGGGAGTGGGCAGGAGAAGACACAGAATTCAGATGAAAAGATCCAGCCCAGGGGTCCCAGTGCCCAGGCAAGGGAAGTTCAGGACCCAGCCTGGCCCCCAGCACGTTGTGTGGATTCCTGTCTTGGGGCCTTAGTGTCCCTGTTTGCTAATCTAAGAAACTGAATTTGATCTGCTCTTCCAAAACACATTTCCCAGAATGCAAACCCTGAGAACTGCACTGCTCAGAATCTGCCTCTTTGGGTGCATGTCAGCATCCGAGGTCAAGGCTCTGAGAACATCCATGGGGCAGAGGTCCCATGAGCCTCGTGGTTCCCCGAAGCTGTTTGACCTTGCAGACTTTGCATTCCAACAGTGACATCTTCATCCCATAGACTGTACATACAGGTGCTGTGTTCAACAGTTATCTAAGATCTTCCTTTATCTCTAGGTGGACACAGCTGAATCTATCCTGGAAGAATATGGAAGAGGAAGGGACCTTTCAAAGCGGTGGAGGGAAAGCAATAAGGGATCCAGTCTGGGAGGGGAAGGGAGCCATGAGAGTTTCCTGGTCTGAGAGGGAAGTCGAAGCAGAGGAAGGCCCAGAGCAGTGAGATCTGAGGCTTGCTCCATGGGCAGGGCAACAGCCCATATTGACTGAGGGCCCATGTGTGCCAGATACTGGGTTGACATCTCCTGTGTGTTGTGGGCACCTACGGGGTCTGTCTTCTCATGCTCATCTTGTATATGTGAAAATGAGGGTACAGAGAGCAACTGTCCCAACTGGGATTCAGATTCAAGCACAGGTGAACAGGGACTGGGCCGAAAGGAACTTGAACTCAGACTCCAGACCTCAAGGTTTGGATCTTTTTCCTGGTCCCAAAGGACATGATAATTGCTTCAGAAACACTCCTTGAACAGGGCTGGGTCAGATATGGTCTGGGGGAAATGTCGATCTGCTGTTAAGACTTGGTTCCATGCTAAGGCTGGTGCATAAATCAAGAAAGTGTATATGGTTAATCCAGGAGGCCTCCCTGGAGAAAGCGGAGGATCTCAAGCCAGCTCTGAAGGGTACAGACAGCACTAATGGGAATCCACGAGGGTTCCAGGATGCACTTTTAAGTCAGACTTGCTTGGATGTGCATCCATCCCAGCTCTCCCTGGGAACACAGAATGCCACCTTTTTGTGATTCCATCTCTTGGCAGGTGAGGATAACAACACGTAATCTCACAAAGTCCCTCTGAGCATTACAACTGATGCCTGTGGCAGTAAAAATGACTAACATGTGCCATGCATTATCCCCCAACCCACCACTCCTCTAAAGCATGATTCTCATGATTAACTCACCTAATCCCTGCAGAGACTTGGAGATATGAGTTATTCCGGAAAAGTGGAGTGGGGAGTGCTCTGGGGTCACATAGCTCTGACCCAGAAGCAGTAGCCAGAGACAAGCCCGGGCTCTCTCGCTCCAGAATCTGCACTGTGACCCACATACAGTCCAACAGGAAATGATTAGTGAGCAATTAGTATGCAGTCATTGCTCAGTACATGATCTACAGCAAGCATGTGTGGCCTGCAATAGGTGATGGCGTCTGAGCAGCTGTCTCTCGGTACCCATTTGGATGGATGCCAGGCCCCTCCCACACAGGATACCCAAACCCAAGGATGCTCAAGTCGCCTAAGGAAGGCAGCATAGTATTTGCCAATGACCTGTGCACATCCTCCTACACACTTCTCAGCATCTGTAGACCGTCTACAATCCCTAATGCAATGGAAGTGCTATGCAAACAGTTGTTACACGGTGGTGTTTAGGGAGTAATGACAAGACCAAAACTGTGACCTGTGGTTGGTTGAAGTCACAGGATACAAAGATACACCTGCTTGCCAGGCACTGTGCCAAGTCCTTTAGGCAACAGCACAGGCCCTAGTGTAGAGTAGGCACATGATAGATAGCATAGATGTGTGCCTATCATGTATGGATTTCTATATGAGCATAGAGAATATATGCATGAGTTCAGATTCATAAATATTTATGTCTATATGCAGATATATCTGCATGTGGGTGTGATAGAGACAGAAATAACTTGGAATAGGAAAAACAAAAGGGAAAACAAACCAGGTCTGGGAGGGAAGGATTGGAAAGTTCTACCAGGAGACAGTAAACCTCTGCTTAGACGGAACGCATTACCCATGCTGACAGCAGACAGGGCAGACTATAGCAAGGCGCTGGGACCCGAGAAAGGGGATGCCGCAGCTGGGGCATGGACGCGGGGGCTCTGGGACATCTGCAGAGACCTGGGCAGAAGCTGTAGGCTGTGGGGGTCAGGCCACCAGCTGTGACTGTCTCGCTCATCTCCCATGACATCTGCCCTTGGCAGGGCGGGCTGACAGAGAAGGGAGGGTATTCAGGGATGCCCTCAGGAGACTGAGGGCCTCATCTTTGTTCCCAGTACCTCCTGGTTTGCTGTCAGAAACACTGCCTGGGGCTTCAGAACTAACCATGTGGTGAGAGGGGAATGTGGTGACCACAAGCTGGGGTATCAGTGACCAGATAGGGTGCCCAGCTGTGGAGTCCCCAGCCAGCCAGTCCCAGTCACCCCATCCTCTGTAAGAAGAAGGGCTATTCTGATGCATTTCTAACTGGCCAGAGTTGAGGGTGGGTGGAAATCAATGGGGATACATTGAAGAAAAGGAAGGAGTGAGATTAAATCCGACTTGTAAGGTGATTCAATGAAGGAAATAGCTTGCTCACTAAAATGCACATCTAGGGTAGTTATTGGATGCCTGTATCTCCTGGCAGAGTGCCTGAGGCCCAGTCTGGTCACCCCTTCGAGGTCCAGTTGCCTGCTACTGGGCAGCCTGAGAGGCAGCAGGTAATGGTTCATACAGTCGGGTCCCTGTCACATACATGGGATACCTGAGTGGAGCTCCTGGCTACTGGACTTGGTCTGACCCAACCCTGAATGTTGCAGATATTGGGGAGTGAAATGGTCAATAGGAACTCGCTCTTTCTCTCTTTCTCTTTCTTTCTCTCTCTCTCTCACAAGAAACCCAGGCTCTTCTGTGCCTCTCTGCTGATTCTTCTCCCCAAGGTCCCCTCTTGCTTGCCCTCCCCCAACCCCCTGGGCTAAACCATCAGGACTTCACACCACCAGGGAGGAGAGTGGGAGACTCCTTGCTGTAGTTCCAGGTACCGCTTGCAGCCCTGGGCAGTGAAAGCCCTGGGCTCATCATCCCCTGTGACCTCAATGAATCAATGAGGCTTCCTCATGGACATGCCGCTCCCTCCCTCAGGACAGACAAGTTGTTGATGGAAGGTGAGGAAAATGTAGCTGTTGCTAGCTGCCAGGAAGTATTTATTTTATTTTCAGGCTTTAGGCTGGGAGACCAGAGGTCGAGTCTGGACTCAGCCACATCCCAGCAGGTAGCAAGTACTTTCACGTCTCCTCTGTAAAATGGGGGGAACTATCGTCTCCCCCTCATACAGCAAACAGGACACATCTGCAAAGTTACTGGGAAGTTGATGTCCCTGTACTGCCCCTGGTGCATTCTAGGGGTGGATATAAGGCATTCTCCCCTTGCTATCAATCGCTCACCTGCCCTATGCAAGCGCAGTGCCTCCAGGATGTGGGACCCCGCAAGCTGGACCCGCAGTGCCGGGATGTCCAGGGTCACAGGTCCGCCTACACCAGGCTTATCTCCACTCGACTGGGAAGGCGTTGGCAACCCCTGCCCACCCCTGCTCTCCAGCAGCGGGGTCGGCACCAGGCAGTGGATGAAGTGCAGGTGAGAGGGTCTGATCACACTGATCAGGGCATCCTAGAATAGCAAGGTCAGGAAGAAGTGTCAAGAACAGAAGTGTCAAGAGGAAGCAAACAGGTACTTGAACTCTCCCCAAACACACATTCAACTTGGCCTGGGCATCTTTTGGGGATGAGGTGGGAGGGGTTATATCCCACTTATCTCACATACTCTCTATAGGATCAACCTTATTGCACAGCAGGAAAAACCACTGCCTGTGCTCCCTGTATCCCATGTGGGTGCCAGTTTGAGACCAGGCTGCTCTAACTCCAATCCAGCTGTCTGCTCATGTGCCTGGGAAAAGCAGTGGAAGATAGATCCAACAGGCGCTTGGTCCCCTGCCACCTACATTGGAGACCCAGAAGAAGGTCCTGGCTTTAGCCTGGTGCCAGGGCCGGTCATTGTGGTCATCTGGGAAATGAACCAGCAAATAGAAGAACTCTCTCTTCCTCCTTCCTGCCTTCCCTTCCTCTCTCAGTATAACTCTGACTTTCAAAATAAATGCATCTTGATTGAAAAACAAAGAGCATTTCATAATGATTCCCCATTGAAACACGGAGGGAAAACAGGCTTAGAGAGTGCAAGCGAGTGGCTTTAGGTAACACAAACAGAAGAGCTGAGCCTGAAACCCAGGCACTAAATGGAGGATTTTTCTGAAATGCCTCCTCCCTGTGTTCCAGCCCCTTCTCGTCTGGTCTTACACCACCCAGGACTTAATCAAAGTCTATCATTAGCTCATGGATTCATGTCACCTATGCATAGGGTTACGTATCTGCCACCTGTGGTGTGCTGGATTCTGCTGCCCTCTCCCAACAAGGGGGTATCTTGTGTGAAAAAGGCAGATGGGGCTGGTCTGGTATCCATCACCTACGTGCAGAGGGCCTGACTCCCAATCACAACCAGCTAAGGTTTTGACCTTGGCCTTGGACCAGTCACTTCCCAGCAGTGTGACCAGGGCCCATTTCTCTGCTGCTCAGACTTACCACATCCAGCCTTTTTGAGCATGGGATTGACACCTGCCGTCCTATAGTGCTTGCTGAGGATGTTGGAGACCATGCCCCATCCTGGGCAAGGAATGGGGTGGAAGAGGGAAGAGGAAGGGTACAGAGCTGGGAAGATGAAGACTCCATGGGACTGGGGTGCCCCACTCACCATCTGCAGCTTGATCTGGAAGCACGGTGCTTTCCTCTTCACCGAAGCAAAACTGCTGGCAAACGTCCTGCGTAGCACGCGGCTTCTCCGCAGGGCCTGCTGGGAGGTGCCCTCCAGGCCAGTCACAGCCTGGCACACGGGGGGCAGCTTGGCCCGGGCCTGGAACAGGCTCCTCAGCTCCTCCCTGGAGGGCAGCAGGGGAAAGTCAGGAGCAGGCTGTTGGGAACTCTGGGGGAAGGTTAGCCTGGAATGGGAAGGAGCCCGCCTTGCTCCTTGCGAGTCTGCTTCCTGAGCCCTCCCTTTGGTTCCCATGCCCCAGATGCCATCCTTCCTTCCCAGGCACCACTGCCAGCAGAGCCTTCCCTCCACAGCAAATGCCATCACCTCTCTGATGCCTCTTTCCTACCTACTAATGCCCTCTCTCCCTCCTCTGACCATCATCCCTACTCCTTGCCAATACTCTTGCCGCTTCCACAGGAAAGTTCTAAAAGTCCATGGGGGCAATGCTTGCTGCTTGCATAAAAAATAAGCATCTCATAATTCTATTTTCCATTAGCTTTTTGAAGTGCCTCCAAGCTCTGCACCTGTAGGATTCTAGCACTGCCTTTGGGAGGCGTGTGCACGCGTGCACACACACACACAAAAAACAAGCATTTTCCAATAACTCTCAGAATTGCAAGGGACATCTTTCCCAGCTCCATGCCAGCACTCCTAGGCTGAGCACCAGGGAACAGCATGAACTTTTCTCAATGCTACAAAACCTATCATTTTGGTTTTACAACCCCACAGAGTACTAGCATGTCCATAAAAGTTGTTGCAGTCACAACCTCTTTCTAGACACTTAATGACAGCTTCATAACTTTTGCACTACTTCCCCAGGTAGCCAGCTCCTTTGGCTCGGCTGGAGTCACCCTGGCCCTAGGGGTGATCTCACATAGCTCCAGTACGAGGAAGCTCTCTGTCTTCTTATGTGGGGAGATGGGTCCTGGCCCAGCCTTCGCTCAGGGTGTGCTTGAGATTGTGGGGTCCTGGGAGGTGGGGGACAAAAACAGCCCTCTCCCGACACCCATCCCTGACCATTGCCCCACTCACCTTTTCGACTGTTGCAGGAGCTGGGGGGCATCCAGGGCTGCGAGGTTGGGCTTGGCCCTGTGCAGCCAGCCAGTGAGGTCGTAGCGCACAGGGTCCTGTCCCAGCTGGTGGAAGATCTCACAGTGGAGGGGCTGCTCGCAGGGGCGCAGGGCAGAGGTCCCTGAAATCACACATGGTGGTCTGAGCACTGGGGCACTCAGCAAGGAGTGGGCATCGCCAAGGGCACAGTGTCTCCGCGTGACTGTGTTTCCGGGTGATTAGAGCTACCAGCAACAGGCACCTGCATTTATCATGTGTTACGGCATTGTTGAGCATTACTTTCCCAAGGGGATTTTATTCTCCCTTGCTTTACTCAAGCCAAATGCCTATCCGTTTCCCAGGCATCAGTGCACGTATGGTATCTTCAAGAACGTCAATATATGTGTGAGCACTTCAACAAGTAAAAAATTGTGTTTTGGGAGCTCAATTATTTTGTAATTTGAGAGGCAGAGACAGAAAGAGAAATATGTGGAAAGAAGATAGCTCCCATCTGCTTTTTCCACTTTCCAAATGTCCACAACAGCCAAGAGTCCAAGCTCTATCCATGTCCAGGTCTCTCCGATGGGTGGCTGACACCCAACTGCCAACCATCACCACTGTCCCCAAGGATCCACATGAGTAAGAAGCAGGAATCAGAAGCCAAAGCCAGGATTCTGATCCAGGAACTCTGAGTGGGACCCAGGCATATTAACTGATGCCTTAGCCACCAGGTCAAATACCTGCCTACAGCACTCGGTCCCTTTAAATCCATGCGTAAAGATACTGATTTGTGGTTTTACAAAGACATTTATTTTAAAAGGAGTACTGCAGATTTGATATGTGAATTATGTTCACTTTATGAATTGTATGATGATAAATACACAATTATTTTATAAACTATGTATTTGAGTGCCACTTAAAATTATTTCCAATGTCATTCATCAAATAACTGCAAAGTCCAGTCTGGGGAGATGCAGGCACACTCTGGGTTTTTGGAACAAAGCTGGGGACATTCATGGACTTGTGATGGGGTTGGGAAAAATCTTAGACACTCTGTTCCATACATACCCAGCTGGAACGGGGAGCAGAGCTGGGATTTGAGGCCAGGCACCTGGAAGTTGGAAGAGGCTATTCCAAGCAGCCTCTGGGCTGCCCAGGAGCAGAATTCCCCACCTATTCCCATTCAGCAGTGGGGCAGGGATTCGGTCCAGGTCTTCCCGCCTGTCCCTGCCGGAAGTTCTGCCTCCTGGCTTCTTCTGGATCTGACAGGGGCTTCTCCTGCAACACCTGCTTCCCCCCTCCGCCCCATCACTCTCCCCAAGCCCACCAAGCATGCACACAGAGGTCATTTCTGCAGCTTGGAGAGGGCTTGTTGCCTAGCTTTTAGAGCAAGGCCACCTGGATTTACCAGTAGCCTGTTGAACCCTATGAGGCCTTACTCCCTGAGCGCACGGGGCACACAGAGGCAGTGAGGCCCACAGTGTCTGGCTCAGAAGAAGGGCTCCTCAACTGGCAGTTTCCTCCATCTACCCATGCTCCCTTGCCTGCATAGCGGTGACACACAATAGACCCCAGAGCCTTGGTGGAAAAGAATTCATCACTTCCAAGGTCAAGCGCAACGTCAGGACCTCCAATGTGAGAACAATCTAGGACTGAATTGTGGCTTGCCTGGTACCTGGAGCCTTTTGTTTTCATGAATTTCTTCCTCTGTATTTTAAACTTTATGACCATATTTATGTAAATATGGTTGCATGCAAAACAATGGCATTTAGCCAGCGACAAGCCACATACACAACAATGGTCCCATAAGAGTCTATTGCCTGGTGACATCCTAGCATTCTTGGTTTGTGTAGCTGTACCCCATGATGATGGCACAATAGTGGACTACCTGAGTAATAGGTTAAGCTACTGCCTGCAGTGCAGGCATCCCATGTAGGTGCCAGTTCATGTCCCAGCTACTCCACTTCCAATCCAGCTCTCTGATTATGACCTAACGTTCACTCCACAATCCCTTCCTCACTCGACCTCTCTGCAGCACCACTTTTGACTGAGCCCCTACATCCGAACCTCCCAAGCACCACATTAACTGGCTTCCCAGCTACTGCCATTGCCACACCTGTTGGTCACCCTGTCCCTGAATCCCTCAACCTCTGGAATGACCCAGACCTGTGCTCTTCTCTGGCAGCCTCCACTCCCTGAATGACCTCAACCAGCACCATGGTCCTCCACCTCCTGCAGGTGCGCGTGCTGGGATCTCTATCTCCTGTGCTGGAACATGAGGCCCGCAGGGGCTGAAAATGTTTGTTTTGTTCACTGCTGCCCTTCTTGAGATGGCAGCTGTCGCAGACTGGGAGTTCTGTAAATATTTGCTGAACCAGTGAGTGAGGAAGCCCACATCCTGGCCTCCTGAGCTCAACTCACAGCGTATTTGCCTCCCTAAGCGCCCTGGTGGTGTAGGAGTCCCCAGCGACTCCAAAGCAGACAAACCTTGTTTGGATTCTGTTTTTTGGCACTCCTCTTCTGGGTGACCTTGGACAAGCATCCCTACCCCCTCTGAATATATCTCCTTCCAAATGTCTGACTGAGTCCTCCGAGCATGGAGGACACTACCCTGCAGGCACACTCCCTCAGGGATGAAGGAATTCTTCACTCTCAGCATCCTCATCAACTGACCTGTGTAACACCTCACGGCCCACAGCAAGGCTCAGAACTCCGTTAGCCATCTCAGCCGAGCTCCACAATAGAACCTCTAGAGCATGAAGGTCCAGGGCTACCTCCCTTCCCCATGTTGCAAGCACATCCATGAAAACCATGCATGTCAAGAAGCTTCCTTGGTGTCTCCCAGGTGGAAGTCAGAGTGGTTGGACTTGAACTTGGGGCTGAACCAATTCCGTGAAATCATCAATCCAAGTTCATCTTTTCCATTTCCCTTTTTGCCTCCTCTCCTGGCATCCCAATACACCCCCCTCCCCCGTGCTGTGGATTTTTCTATGTAAAATACTTTCTAATGCTTCCCACCTCACTGGGGGGCCAGGTCGGGCTGCTTTCCTGGATTGGAAAGTGGGGTGCCAGATCGGGCTACCTTCTCAGCACTACTCCATGGATTGAACATTTCGACACCTTCCTTTCACGACTCTGACCATGCATCCCACTGCCTAGCGCCATTTAGTAATCTCATGGCTCTAGGGTTAAGACCAAAGAAAGAGAGTGCATGACCAGCCAAGGTCCCATGTGTGGGCTGAGCACCTTGCTCTCTGTCCCCCATTGAGAGGACATGACTCAAGCAGGCTGGTGCCCCACTGTATGAAAGAGCACCAGCATACAGTAGCACGGGGATGAATTAAAGCATCAAGGAACAGACACACACATGGGAACAAGCCCACATATTTCTCTTCTGGGAACCTCTGTGCAGACCTTGTCAGCGCCTTGCCTGCTACGGACAAGGACAGAAGCCACCAACATCAGGGCTGGATACCACCCACTTACCTTCAGTCTCAGCTTCTTTCTTCTCAAAGGCTGCACACAGCCGCTCGAGCACCACGCTGTCGCTGGAGCCCTGCACCCGAACCTCCTCATCCAACACCCAAAAGAGACCCTTGGCATTCTCAGTGCCTCCTCCAGCTGCCAAGTGAACCTGCAGGAAAGATCCAGCACACACTGAAGGTCTGACCACCCTCACCAGAGGTCAGTCCTGGGCTTCTCTTCAAAAGGGCAGGGGGTGCTCTGAGCCACAGTCATCAGGACCCCCAAACACTCAGCAAACCAAGTTCTTATTGGCCCCCAAAGCTCTTAATATTGATGCCACAAAGCTGTGCTAACCTTATGGTTTTGCGGGATCTGAGTTCTGCCTGTGTTCTCATCCTTGGGGAAGCCCTCTACAAACTACACACATCAAGAGACACTTAAGTGGCCAGTCCCAGGCCTGTGCACAGCCAGACATGAAAGTCCTGGCTGCAGCTACACCACTTCCTCTTAGAGGGCTCTGCCTTTTTTTTTTTTAACCGAAATCTTGAAAAGGGAGAATGAGAAATGTGTACTCAAAGGACATCTCAGAGGAAAAGCTGAGCATGATTTGATAGCAGACGTGAATTTTTAAATCCGACCATGAGCTCCCCAGGCTGCCAAGGCAACCCTGTCATTTTGCATGTGAGAATCTGAGAAGGACCTGCAGGAGTTTACGGAGCTTCTCCGAAGGCCTGCAAGAAGATAGCACATTGCACCAGAATGTGGACCCATGGGTGTCAATGCTAGGGAGGAAAAGTGAGAGCCCTGCACAAGCCAACTGGTCAACCTAACTGGGAAATGTGAATGCGCACCCCTCAGAGGCCCAGAGATAGAAAGGAAGGAATATGGCCAGGGTGACACAGAAGGTCATAGGGGCAGAGGTAGAATTGGATCCCTGGTACCCCAGGCCTTCTCTCTTGGGGTTAAAGCCAGCAGCCTGTCCACCCTCAATAAGCAGTCATTTGCAGAAAAGGCTGTGGCCCTGGGAACTACAGCACCCTACCTAGCAGAGGCCACCCAGCCCTTGCAAAGGAGTCCTGAGGGAAAGAAGAACAAAGCTAGCTGAGAGAGGTCCACCAGAAACAGACACCTGTGGGGCAGCCAGCAGGACTTGCAACAGGGAGAGTTTGCAGTGACAGGCACGGCCCACTATGAGTCCTGAGAGCGCTCAGGAGCCATCACATAGTGGCCATGGGAGATAAGGAGCGAGGCGGAGGGCAGCCTGCAGCACCAAACAGCAAAAGGAAGGACTGTTGTGGGACTCCTTTGTGTTGCTTTGTGTTGCTTGGTGAGCAACATCTCATTGACTGTGAGCCCACCTATACCCAGGGGAGAGCATCGTCCCCTTTCTGCAGATGAGACAACTGAGGCTCAGAGAGGTGAATGAGCACGCTCAAGGTCTTCAGGATTGGATTCAAGCCTGGCAGATCACACAGCCCAAGCACATCCTCACCAACATGTGAGAGTGGGGAGGAGATGAGTCCAAGGACCCAGGGCAGTTTCAGAGTAAGGGGGAACAGGATGCAGGTAGGGTCAGGAAAGTGGGCCCCAGGGGTGAGGGAAAGAGTGCAAGATTCTGATACCCCCAGTTGAGAGCTTCCATGTCCCCTCTCCCCCGCCACAAGGCTATTCAGGGGCCTGGGCCCAACATGATGCTACACATTCCCTGAGGTTCCTCAGTCTGCATACAACACCTGCGTCTCAACCCTGATGGTTCCCAGGCAAGGGTGGCTATAGGACCATTGGACAAGGACCCTAAGTTTCTGTGGCTCTGACTCCAGGCTCCCCTGGAGCCTTTGTAAGAGCCACTGAGACCCCAAGCCCAGTCATGCTGCCCAAGCTAAGAGCAATTGGGTTTCCCCTAGTTTAGGCCACACCCCAGTCCACTTACTACAGAATCTGGGGGTACAGTGCTTCTGACAACCCCCGCATGATTCCAGATGCAGGAGGTATAGGTGCCTGCTGGCTTAACGCTTTCCATCAGCTGGCACTGCCATGAAACAGCCACATGGCACATGGGAGCCTGGCTTCCCTGAGCTCCAGGTTACCTGGGAGGGACTCTGGTCCACAACAGCCACTGAGGTCGCTGGGGAGGATTCCGGGAGATCGAACTGCATGGGAACACCTTCCTGGAAAGTCACAGGATTGAATAGTTAGCACCTGCAGTGAGCTGATGAGCAAGCGGCAAGGGAGGGGTGTAGAACAACAGGAAGAAAGAGGAGTGGGTTCTCTCATCACCACTCAGCTCCTTTGTTTCAGAATGTTTATCGATTGCCTGTTAGACTGATTTTGAGAGTGAGAGAGACACTTGGCATCAGATGCTCCCCTCCTCCAATGCTCACAACATCCAGGGCAGGGCCGAGTCAAAGCTGGGAGCCAGGAACTCAACCCAGGTCCCCCAACTGGGAGGCAGGAAGCCAACCGTTTGAGCTATTCCAGAAAGCTGCAATCTGAGGCTGAACCAGGACTCGAACCCTCGTATCTAGAATAGGATAATATCCCAAGCAGCTTCTTAGCACCCAGGCCCAATGCTTACCCCATTAGGCCTTAAAAATAATCATTTGCTGTGATAGACCCCACATAATGTAAGCCTCATCTCCTTTATCGGTTTCAAGCACATGGACCAGTGAGTGTTAAGGGTACATTGACCCTGTTGGGCAACCATACCTGGCTAGCCACCTCCAGCACGACTTAATCCTACAAAGACCACCAAAGAGCTTCCCATCCTCCCGTGGCTCTATTACCTGCTGTTTTGCCGCCCATGTCTGTGGCTCTGACCACTCAAAGTACCTCATGTTAGCAAGTCTGGCTTTTTTTCACTTAGCATAATGCCCTCTTAGGGTACTTGTTTATCACTGGTGCAGGTGTCCACGTTTCCTTCCTTCCGAAGATCGCGTATCCACCACTGTTTGTGGACCTGTCTGCTGAGACAGCATTTGGACTGCTCTCACCTTCCAGCCACCGTGAAGAATGGTGCTGCGACAGGCGTACGTGTGCACATGTCTTGTCAAGACCCTGCATTCATTCTTTGAGATCAATCCTCAGAGGTGAAACTGCTGAATCGTGCAGGAATTCTGCTTTTACCTTTCTGAGGAATGGCTACGTCTGTGCACCTTGATGGCCGCCCTATTCTCCTCCCCACAGTGAACAGGTTTCCATGTGCCCCTCCACCCCCAATGCTTGCTGTTTTCTGGCCTGGATGTGGCTTTGTAACATTCTGTTTTCAAGGTAGCCATGTTAGTGGGTGTGCGATGATCTCCCACTGTCACCTGACTCCCAGAATTTCTGAGGTGGAGCATCTATTCATGCGCCTCCTGGCCATTTATATATCCTTGGGTGGGGGGGGGGAATCTCTTCATTGGCTCAGATTTTAATTGAATTGCCCTGCATTCACTACCTCTTCGATCTCGGATGGAAAGAAAGATTACATGGCTAGGTTCTGATAACAACTTGCTGTTGTCCATCATTCCAGTAATTCAGGGCAAACTTTAAAAACATTTTCTGAGAACGTAGTGAGTGTTGAGCTAAGTGCTCACTGCTGGGGAGGAATCAGTAAAAACTAGAGATAATCACAGGTGCTACTAAAAAGAACTACAAGTTTCCAGACAGTGCTTTGCACAAAGATGTTCATTGAGGTCGAGCAGAAACAAGCTGATTCTAGCCACAGCCGGCCTGCAACAGCTCAACACCAACAACTCCCCTACACACACACACACATACACACGCACACACCTTTCCACATGCTTAGTGAACATCTGTATCTCTTCCCTGGGGAAGTGTCTGTCGGTGTGATATGCCTGGAATGACCCAAGAGAGTCCAGCCAAGATCATCAGAGGTGCCCACCTACCTAACCTGACCATAGGCTCATAGTGGTCCTGCCCAGACCCAAGGGGCTCCCAGCATCCACCGAGGCTCTTACTTTGATGCCACCCTATGTAACACCATTGTGGCAGATCCTAACTGATACACGAGCATTACTGTCCCCATCACCCATGTGACAAAAACCAAGGAAGGGTCAGAGGAGGCGAGTGACTTTCCAATGAGGCTGATGGAAACTGATCTGTGTGGATGTTTTCATTCCACTGCAAGGAAGTCACTATAATTTCAACACCTGTCATCCTGTTGATAAACAATGTGGCCACGCCTAGTATTTGTTATTTTCACTTGCTGGAGTCAACGTGGCCATCTTCAAAGGAGAAGGGAGTAGATACGGGACAGGCCGTGTTCCCAGTGCCACCTGGCTGACAGATGGGCATGTGTGTTTCCTTGCATAGTCATTGAGCTGTGTCCCTGTGGTAGGTGGACTTTTCTCTCTTGTTGTGGTTCGAGAGTGTCCCCTCCAAAATTCAAGCACTGGAATTTAGTGGTGGGGACTGGCATTGTGGCGTGATGGGACGAACACCACTTATAGTTATTCTCTCATGTGAGAGTGTCAGGCTGAGAAATGGCTACTCTGCTTCCCTTCCAGCCTCCTGGAAAGGTGATTGGAAAAGCAGAAGATGGATAAAGTACTTGGGCACCTGCTACCCTAGGTAGGAATCCTAGTTGGAGTTCCAGGTGCCTGGCTTCAACCTGACCCAGCCCTGGCTGTTGTAGCCATTTGGGAAGTGAACCAGTACTCTCTCTCTCTCTCTCTCTCTCTGGCTCTTATTGCCATTTAGGGAGTGACCCAGAAGATGTAATAGCTTTCTGTTTCTCTTACCCACTGCCTCCTGATCACTCTGCCTTTCAGATACATAAAGTAAATCTGCATTAAACCATAAAATGTCTTTGGGGGGGAGGGGGAGTGACCCTTGGGAATGGCTTTAGCTTGGGTAAAAAGGAAGTGGAGAAGGAGTAGGGACAGATGCACAAGCCAGGCTCCAAAGAAGCATGTAGGTCCCGGCCTTTGAGGGCCAGGGTGTATAGGAGGCAGTATGTAGTGGGCTGTTGAGGCAGGCAAGGAGCAGAAGCAACCTGGGGAGAAGGGGCTTTGTCCCAGAGAGGACCACAGAGTGAAGACTGGGACTGGAGACCAGAGAGCCCACCCATTCCATGCAAACCCACCTGCTCCACCCAGCTCCCAGCCCCAAGCCAGATGTACCTCCCGGTGTCGCTCCAACGTGGAGACAAAGGTCCGCTGGTGGAAGAGCAGCTGCAGGCGCTCATGAGCGTAATTGTGGCATAGTTCCTCAAAGGTGGCAGCCCGCTCCTTGCCCTGATGCCGCGGACTTTGGAAGCCCGGATAGTCCACCACCATAATGGAGGCCATGGAGAGGTGTTGGGATGAGAAGGACCTGGGCAGGAGGAAAGGCAGAGCCTGGGATGACCGAGGTCCTGAGAACCCACTGGTCCAAGTCTCCTCCTCTTCCTTTGCTGCCTACCCCACACCCACAGGGATGAAGAAACTAAGGCAGCATGCCAGTGTGTTCAAGGATCCTGCAAATCCTGTCTCAGAACCAAGCTCCCTCATGGACTGACTGTATGAGCTTGGGTGAGCTGGTCAACCTGCCTGGGTTTCCTGAACAACAATGGGGGTCACGGAGGGAGCTCAAAACTGCAAGAAGGATCAAAGGAGGTGAAGTTACAGCCCGAGCCTCGGTTCCTACTCCCAGGGACACACTGAGCGAGAAATGCCATTTTGCACAGCGCTGTGCCAGTTTATGCCATTCCTTCGAGTCATCATTGCCTGGGATCTTCCAGCAGCACCTGCCCGAGTGGACAGGGCAAGGATTATTCTCATCAAAATGCATCAGCCAAGATGCTTTGGAGCTGGATGCAGCTGGGCCTGTTCCCTCACTCTGTAGAGGAGAGGCTGTGACTCCTGGAGCACCAGAGACCTTGGCTGGGAAAAGCTTAATGGTTAAGCCTGGTTGGAGAGTGCTGGGAAGGGTGGGACGTGGCAGGTATCCATCACCAGGAAGTATACTCAGCAAGTGTTCTTGGTTGTTGTTGCCATTGGCATGACCAGCTTCCAAGGGTGACATGGACATCTGTTAGCTGTTTGTTCTTGCTGAAATTTTCCTCGACCCAGACCTACAGCCTGTTGCAGGCTCACAAACGGCGGGGGCGGGGGTGGCAGAATTCTGGTATAGCACATAAAGCCTATAACACCATCAACCGCACAGGAACTGGTTCAAGAACTGGCTGCTTCACTTCCAGTATAGCTCCCTGCTGAGGTGCCTGGGAAAGCAGCAGGAGATAGCTCAAGTGCTTGGACACCTACACTTGTAGAGGAGACCCAGACGAAGCTCCTGATTCCTGACTTTGGCTGGCCCGGACCTGGCTGTGGCAGCTACTTGGAGAGTGAACCAGCAGATGGAAAATCTCTTAGAGTTAAAGGATCCCAAGAAAGTTGAACACATGGTACAACCCCTGGCCCCAAATCCTTGTTGAAAAGGCATTGGTGACTATTAACAGTATCTTTATCAGCACCCTTAGGAAGAGTTGTGTAAATTCCTTATTTCCTTTTATCCTTGCTGTCGACCCTGGGTGGGGTGGAGTTTTTACCAATGCAGCAAGGGAAGTCAGACAAGTGAACAGACTCGCCTTAGTCGCACAGTCGGGGGAGAGGGGTGGTCACGGTGGGACTGAAACTCAGCTATGCCTACTAGGAACCCCTCTCCTCCACTCAAAACACACCATGCTGCTACAGCACCCTGTGCTCGCACTCCTCCTTGTCTCCATCAGAGGTGGACAGTGGCCACCATTACCTGTTGATGAGTGAGACCACGGCAGCGAAGAGCTCTTGATACAGGCCCAAGGCCATGCCCTCCACACACTCTGTGCCTGTCATCTTGAGCCCTGGGGGTCCAGAAAGAGGAAAAGGTGCTGAGCTGGCCTCCTGCGTTCAGGACCCCATCCTTGCTAGGCAGCCTTGGATGGACAATACAGCCGCAGGGGCCCCTGGGAACCCGCCCTGCTCCCTCCATTGCCCTCTGCAGCGGCCACTACACCCATCTTCTTAGGACGCTTTCTACAGAACCTAACCTCCCTTTCCCTTCAGACTGCTCATCCCTCAGGGCTCAGCCCAGAGAGGTCACCTCCCCCAGGAAGCCTTCCTTGACTATCGCCCCACCACCATGAGTCCCATTTGTACCCCTAGCCTGTTTTTATAGCACCCATCACAGTGGCATGGCCTTACTGGGTGATGATTTCATTAGCTTGGGCCTCCCCAATGAGGCTTCGGGGTGTGTCAGTGATGGGAAGTGACTTAAAGTGACAATTCCAATAAAGGGTTGGTCTCCCTTTATCTGAAGAAGGACCTGCCAATTTTGACAGCCAAAGTCACAAAAATGTTCAGATCCTGGGACTGAATAATCTCACTCCTGGAGTTTTAAATGTCTCAAGAAATAACCAAAAGAAACAAAGAGATCTGGGTGCCCGCTTCTTCCCGTCGTTGATTTCACTGGCAAAAAGAAATTCTTTTTTTTTTTTTGGAGACAGCCTGAATGTCCGACCCCAGCAAATGGGTTGGATAATTTGCAGGCGATTCTCACAAAAGATGCTTGAAGTTGGGTGCAGAGGAACATTTTCTGCCTACCTGTGATGTGAATGCAAATGACAAGGCTTATCAAGCCATAATGGCAGTCGTGGTCTCAATTTTGTTGAAAGACACAGATGTACATGTGAGTACACACACACACACACACACACACACACACACACACACACACACACACTGTTGAACCCAGCACAGGGAGCAGCAAGCAGGATTCAGATCACAGGTCCTGACCCTGAAGTTTGAAATCCAACCACAGAATTAGAAACACAGTTTGTTTCCAAATCTGTACCCCTTAGTGTCTGCAGAAACTAAGTTTCAGCTCCTAAATTCTAGGCAACCTTCTCCCCGCAATCACCACAGCATTTCCCAGCCCTCCTTTAACTCCACCCACAGCCTAGCCAGTTGCTAGGCAACCCACAGCCTCTCAGAATCTCTCCTAAGTCGGCTGCTGGTACTCTGCCTGCTGAATGCCGACCCTTGAGGTCTTGGCCTGAAAGGCTGATACAGACTCACACAGTATGTGCGTGTGTGTGCGTGCTCTATGTTCATGCATCTGTACACAGGTCTGTCCACATGCCAGGTGTGTGTGTGTGTGCGCTGTGTGGATGTGTCCTGGCTTGCATTAACCTGTGTAAGTTATGCATCTGTGCCTACATGCACCATCTGCACATGGGCTTGATTGCGTGGTGTGGATGCGTGCATGTATGTGTGGTTGTGTGTGGGGGGTGCACACACGTTCATGATATGCATCTGTATATGGGAGCTATGTGCACGCACACAGGATTCAATGGTTTGCGGGATGTGGGCAGGTGCACGTGTGTTCTGTATATCTGTGTACATGAATGCTATGTACATGTGTTAATGCACAAGTGTGCTGCTTGTCCTCTGTGAATGTGTCTGTGCCTGCGTGTGTGTGCGTGTGTCAGGGATGTAACTTTTGAACAAATCATAGCTCACAGCACACTGCAGACCCGTAAAGAAACATACAGGGCAGAGGCCTCTAAGTGACATCAGCTGTCAAGCTACCGCCCCAGGAAGGGAGTCACAACTGTCAGAATCCAAGGGAGCTCAAAGAGTAGGGTGGGGGCAAGGGCAGGGAAATGTGGAGAGGAGCCTCAAAAGCCACAGCTCAGAGCAACCACCCCAAACTCTGCAGTCAATCACCCCAAACTCTGCAGTCACAAAGAGGGCTATTCAGCGAGCTCTCAGAGGTGACAATATGCCTTCACCCTCACTCCTACAGGCCAGGCATTTGGTCCACAGAGGCTGTAGACCTGGGATGCCTAACTCCCACCCCAGCAGGTGCAGGGTGAAATCCCCCTGCTTGTTCACTGTGTTGGGTGCCCTCTTGCTTCTCCTGCTAGCTCAGCCCTAGAGGCCAACCCTGGACCCTCTCTTCTCTGGAGAGCCCCTGCTTCCACCCCCATGTCTACCATCACTTCCCTGATCCAGTCCTCTCAGTCCCCCGACTCACCTGGGGACATTGACAGGTTCCCAATGGGGCCTCTCATCTCCCACACATCCCCAACCTCCATCTAGGCTGAGTTGCACCAAGAATAACTCACATCACTTCCTTCCCCTGCTTAAGCCACTCTCCAGCTTCCTATGAGCCTAAGAAGGCAAACCTCTCATTCACACACTTCCATGAGCTGAGCCCCACCTTGCACTCCAAACTCGTCTCCAGCCACCCCCACGGCTCACTCAAATCACACCAGCCATCCCCACACCCCACTCAAATCATTCCAACAGAAAGGGAAGTGTCCCCCACACACAGCAGGGGCTGCACTAACATGAAACCCTATGGGAACATATCAGTCCTTCAGTACTGCCCACCATGTGTCTTCTCCCCAATACAGATGCCGGCAGCCTCCATGACCGCTGGACAAAGCTGATGATGTGACAATAAGCATCATGCTTATACGACTGTAGCATTTCTTCCCGTGGTAGCTCCCCCTGCACGTACACAGGGATACTACACAGACTCTTCCCCCAAGAAGGTCCTAACGACTTAACGAAAGAGCATTGTTGGACTACTGCCATCCAGCCGAGAAGAGAACCTGGCCAACTGACAGAGGCAGTAGTGGGTTACCTGAGCTGGTCTCCTCTTCCTGAAGGCCTCGCCGGCTCGGCCCAGATGTCACCTGTTCGATGATCTGCCGCAGGTGGTGCTTGAAGGTAGCTGTGTTGAGCTCCTCATACTCACAGCCCAGGGCCTCGGCTGCATGATTGGCCCACTCAAACCTCATGAACTGCTTCCGGCCCACTGTGCCAAGGACAAAGCAGAGGTGTGTGGCTGTGAGAGCCCTGGGCAAGGGACAGACGGAGAGCCCAAATGAGTCTGGGCTCCCTTCCCCACCCCTCACCCCTCGCCAGTTCCAGGCCACTCACATCTAGGTAGAGAGCTGGAAGAGCTGCCCAGGCCAGCAGAGCCTTTGGGGATGGCCTATGCAGTAGGAACTACGTTTTACAAGAGACACATTCCTGCTTCCTCTGGCTATTGTGCACTTTTTTCAAAGTGGGGAATTGGAAGACTCTTTGCAAAAGTGTGATTCATTCTTCTTTGGGTCCATCTCTCTACCCAGCCACTCTCCCCGCCGCCCACCCACTCACCCATGCAGCTGCTCACCAGGCCGCCCACACAGGCAACCATCTTCCCAGTCACCCATCTGCTCAATATCTATTTATTGAGTGCCACTCCATAAACGGGAGACATGGGGGCCAACCACTAGGAAACCAAGGATGGGCAGGACCGACAAGGTGCCCGTCCTCCTGGCTTTTACGGTCCACTGAAGAAGGAGTGAAGCAATCAGCAAGTCAATACAGAGATCAATAAGATCATTTCAGGTGATAGGAAGGTGAGAAGGAGCTGGCTACATGCAGACATAAAGAACCAGGGAAGAGTTTTATAGGTAGCAGGGGTGGAGGGAAGGGAGTGCTGTATACACCCTGAAGCACCATGTGTTAGATGCCAGGAACGCTGGTATGGGAAGGGGGTGACCAGAAGATGCCCAAGACTCAACAGGGAGTCACTCCATGGGCAGCTGTAAAACCACTTAGAAATGGCAGGAAAGTCTCTATGCAACCTGAAAAAATGCTTACAATTGAATGCTCAATGAAAACCAAGAGACCAGAAAACTGTACCATAGCACACAACGTCAATCATTCTACAGTGACATTAAAACAATAAAAAAAAAAAAGGAAATTCAGCCAACTATTAACAATCCCAGCTGCGCAGGGAAGTTTAATTTTCCCCAAATCTTCTGCCATGGTTATGTGCTCACTTTGGAATTGAACAGAACTAAATGATTTGTTCAAAACAAGTAACTGTGCCATGCTCAGGACATTTTCACCCATCTTTTTATCATCCCATAAATGTGTTTTCCTTTTTTGAACTGAGAATCACGGTTGCCAATAGAGATTCTGCAGCCCCAGGAGACTGTAAGGGCCCAGGCCTTCAAGCAGACACTTGAAGAATCAGTCTCTGCCTGGTGACAAAATGAGAAATTTGAACAAGGATTTGCTCTGGGGTTTCAGTGCCAGCCAAGGAGGAAAAGCCCTGGTCCCAGTCCCTGAGGTTATCACAAAGAGTGACCGCTTTGGCAGCGGGGAAGCGGGAATCTTTTTTCCCCAGGGATCATCCTAAGCGTATTCAGATCATTCCTGCTGTACAGGTGAGAAAATGGAGACAGACAAAACAGATAATAATGTCCTCTACTCAAAGATTATGACGAGGATGATGAGGGTGATGGTAAGGTGAGGATAGGAATGGTGACGGTGGCAGTAATGATGATAAGACACAGATGCTTACGATGATAATTGTATTGGTGACCGTAAGGTGGGGATGGCGATGACCATGGTAGTGATGATGATGGCTACTGTGACCATTGTGGCGACAACAATCACACTTTATCCACCACTTTTTATTCAATGCCTTCTTTATTCAGCTCATGGCTTTTGAAGTTAGCCTGTGTGAGAGCACCAGGTACAGCAAATGGGAAAGTGGACCGTATGCTGGTTATGACTGTTTATCATTGCTACTGTTATTAGATCTGCACAAGAGTCATTAAAAATGTACACTATCACCCCCATGTCGCAGATAAAACAACGGATTCCGAGAAGACATCGGCAAACACGCCACCGCTAAGGGGAAGAACCAGTCTTCCAACAAAATCAGTCCTTTAAATGCCTTCTCTGGGAAATCTATCCTATCCTTATGACCCTGGCCAGGTTCCCTTTTAAATGAACTCACTTATCTTTCTTTACTTAAAGGACACAGGATTCCATTATCTCCAGTGAGAATCCATTATCACCTGTCACAATAGAAAGTAGAAATAAATACAATATGAGCACCAGATGCCATTAGGTCCTAATTGGATGCCATTACCTGTGGGCCCAATGCTTTTGCTTTATCTCCCTGCGTGTGTGTGTGTGTGTGTGTGTGTGTGTTAAAGAGATGAGCCAAAACAGAATGAGGTGTTAAAGACTATTTACACAGAAGCCAACTTTCTCTTCCCTTCTGGCAACTGAAGGTGAACTCAGTACGGGAAACTTCCTTGGTAGATATGCCCTGTACATCCCCTACTTCAACCCCCTCTCCAGCCGCTGCTTTGTGAAAGAGGCCCTCACAATGCAAACCCAAGGACTTTGCCAGCCTTGGGGAGCTGGGAGCAGTCATGGAAGGATCCAGTAATTGCTATCTCCACCAAGAGGGTCGGTGCTTGGCTCCATGCATTTTGTACACCCTGCCTGGCTGAGTGGGGAAGTTCTGGGTGCAGCTGAGACACACCTCAACTGGAGAATCCCAGGATGCCCTTGAGGAACTGGACCAGAAAAATGACATTTTTACTCCCAGAAGGCCCTGAAACTTGCCCTTCACACACACAAAATCCAACCTTGTAATTTCGCTGTCTTTGCTCACATCTGGGTCGTGGCCAAACTCAGTAAGTTTGCTTTTGGTCCTAGCTCAGCTGCAGAAGCAGATTCTCTAGCGGGGAGGGTCCCCGAAAAGAGCCGAAGTCAGGGTGGGCTGCTCCTGGTCTGTTCCTCAGACCCCATCCTCATGGCTGAGACGAGGCCTGGCTCCCGGCAATCTCCTACCAAAAGCTGGGCTGCTGAGTGGCGGGCAAGCAGGGTGCAGAGCAAGGTCTCATAGATGGGAAGCAGAGCGGCTCCAAGTGATGACTTAATGCCCATCATTGCCACTAGGAGCAAAGTGAATCATGCATCGTGAAATTGGGTCTGGTGAGTTTCTTAACTATTTGGACTTCTGAGAACCCAAAGGGTGTATCTTGTAAGTCTTTGAGAGGGAAGAAGTTTGGGCCAAGGTTGCTGCCCCACTTGGGAACTTGCAGGACTAAGTTCCCAGAAGACACTAGTTTAGGAAACACTGGATTAGTCTTTAGAACCCTCTCCTACCCAGGTGACCCTAAGAAACTCAGTCACTCACCTGTCACTTCTAGTACTTCTAGTCAGCTGTCACTTTTAGAAAGAAGCCAGCTGGGGTTAGAAAACAGAAATGGATCCCAGCATTATGGCACAGGGGCGTTAGACCACCGCTTTCAAAGTCGGCATCCCATACTGGAGTGCTGGCTTCAGTCCCGGCTGCTCTGCTTCCAATCCAACTCCTTGCTAATGCACCTAAGAAGGCAGCAAGTTCTTGGGCCACAGCCCCCACCCCCCAGGGGAGACCTGGATGCAGTCCCTGACTTCCGGCTTCCACCTGGCCCAGCCCTGGTTGTTACAGCCATTTAGGGAGAGAACCAACTGATAAAAGATCTCTCCCTTTCTGACACTCTTTCAAATAAATGAATGAATCTTTTAAAAAGAACATTTTAAAAAAGAAGGAAGGAAGGAAGGAGCAAGAGAAATTAATGGAATAGAGTTGCAATGTTCAAATTCACCTGCCAACGCAGGTTTTCCTCTTTGTACTTGATACTGTGAAAGAGAGAGAAAATAACATACTTTCCCCTATGCACCACGAATTCAATTGCTAACACTTACTGTGGCCTCCTGCACATATTAATAACCAAGTTGTTTCTCCTTCCAACAAAAGCTGTGCTGCTGCTGAATTTCTCAACATCACATGACTCACTTATAAGGCTGTGTGCATCTGTTCCTCCCACAGACGTGGTAGTCTGGAGGCCTGGGAAGAAGGAGGCCACCGGCAGGGAGGCAATAACCCCAAAAGCTAGAGTGACTGGAAGCAAAGCCATCATTCTGGAGACAGGCCAGAGTTCAAATGCCACCTCTGCCACTTCATGCTGTGGGAGGGTGGGAGGAAGCAGAGGGAGTCCCCTGAGCTCTCAGAACCCCCGTCTCCTCTTTGGTAAAATGGGAATGATGAATGGAATCTCCCTCTCGCAATTCCATGGAAATCAGTGAGGTCGCATGAAAGTGCTTCAAAACGTTCATGAGGAAATAGAATGAAAGGATAAATTTCTTCTGGTGCAAAAGTTTTTGAAATTCATGTAGATTTTTTTTTATATATAACATGTATCTCCCATGTGCTTGGTGGACACCTTTTATAGACCTGGATTTCAATTTCTTAATTTTTTTAATTCTATTTCATAGACAGAGAACTCCCATCTGCTGGGTCACTCCCCCAGATGAACCCACAAGGGCCCAGAGCTGGGCCAGGCCCAAACCAGAATCCAGGAACTCAGTTTGAGTCTCCCACCCTGGTGGGAACAACTCAGGCTTCTTTAGCTGATACTCGCTGCCTCCTGCATGCACTTTAGCAAGAAGCTGGAACCGGGAGTGGAGCCAGAGCTGGACTCCAACAAGGCTCTCTCATAGGGGACACAGGTGTCCCAATAGGTATCTTTATCACTAGACCAAATGTGCCCATTTGGGGAGTGAACCAGGGGATGGAAGGTCTGTGTCTGTCTCCTCTCTGTCACTCTGCCTTTCAGATTAACAAAATAAATCTTAAAAGAGAAGAAACCCAGAAGCCCTGGGCATTCCAGCTGCCGCTCCTCACCTTCCTAAGGCACAGGGCCGCCGGCAAACCCTGACTTCCAGCATTGGCCACTTTAGAGCATGCATTTTTTAAATGTAATTGTTTACATCCCAGAGCAGCCATTGCAACTTAATGAATGAATTCAATCTGCTCAGAAACTGCAGAATAAATCCTCGCCTGTGGCCCAAAATAGGCTGTGCTGTACCAGCTGTCGGGCAGGGTGCCAGGCCAGCAGCTGGGCTTGGCGGAGAATGCGCAGCCCGTGGCTATGTGGGAAAGCATGTGGGAGGAGCAGGGCCCCAGAG